TACGTTCTTTGCTTGATGCAATTATCTCACCATGTGGCAGCACTACGCTTTGACATTTCCAACTGGAAATTTTTTCATCTTTTCTTTCACTTATCTGATTAGCGAGCTGTCAGAACTTTTCCTGAACTGCCATAGGGCATTACGTTAACGGCACGGTGCGCGCTGAAAATTGTATTTTTTCGAGCATTATTACACAACTTATTACTGAACTGATTTGTAATTTCTTACAGATCGACTACGAACGAAACTAAAAAGTATCAACACCAAGTTTGAACAAAGATGCAGCCCGTTAGAGTGATATTTTCGAATGTTGCACGCCGCTCCTTCTCCACGTCGCCCAAGACTCTTGCGGCGAAGCAGTTGACCGTTCGTGAGGCCTTAAATTCTGCTCTGGATGAAGAAATGGCACGCGACGACCGCGTTTTTCTTATGGGTGAAGAGGTTGCCCAATATGACGGAGCCTATAAGGCGAGTAAAAATTATATTTCCATCGTTTATGCTTGGAACTCGTCAACTTGAACTTGGTTACGTAAACGCCAATACACCAACAAAAAATCATTTAGGATGCATGTGTGTGCTATTGGTGACAGTTTTATGGATAGCTGTCGATAAGAGCACGCGCGGTGAACAGTATACGTCACATTAAAATCTGTGGTTTTAATAGGGACTAGACTTAAATATGTACATATATAATAGACATTGGAAGGTCAAACAACAAATACTGTACCGGACTGGCTTAAAATTATCATGCGCTCTTATCACTTCGCATCGTGCGCGACTCGTACTAACCTAGGCTCTACTGATAGGACGCATCCGTCATGTGGATCTTTGTTTACATATCTTTTTGTATTTCACTTTTCATGAATATTATTAAATATAATTTATTTTCCTGACAGGTATCCCGTGGTCTCTGGAAAAAATATGGCGACCAACGTGTTGTGGATACGCCCATTACCGAAATGGGTTTTGCCGGTATTGCTGTCGGTGCCGCTATGGCTGGCCTGCGACCAGTTTGCGAGTTTATGACTTTTAACTTCTCAATGCAGGCCATTGATCACGTAAGTAATATTGCTATTCCTAGATATATACCTTTGTTTACAAGAAAAAAAGTGTGAATGGGCATACCGGCAAATAAGTAAAATCAATCGAAATATAAAGAAAAGCTATAATAGGACATCATTCGATAAATGGAAGATTGGCAACATTCAATATGTGTGTCCACGAACTAGCTTATTATATGTATGTACTGNCGTAAGTAATATTGCTATTCCTAGATATATACCTTTGTTTACAAGAAAAATAGTGTGAATGGGCATACCGGCAAATAAGTAAAATCAATCGAAATATAAAGAAAAGCTATAATAGGACAACATTCGATAAATGGAAGATTGGCAACATTCAATATGTGTGTCCACGAACTAGCTTATTATATGTATGTAGCTCTCTCGCATATCGATAATTTCCTAAAAAAGTATATACCCACTTGTACTAACGCTCTAAACTGTTAAGCTATGTTCTGAAATGAAACCTTTAGAGCTGGGATATACGGAGAAAAGTTATCAAAGTGACCCGGTGTGTTATTAATAACAAATAATGATGGAGATCTCACAGTCCAGCTCTTCAACATGGATATATTATTACTATACATACATACATACATTTCGCCATCATTATTAGTGCATATATATTTTTAATATTGCCTAAATTTATTCTCGGATACAAAATTTATTGAAATCTCTAGGCTGCGCTGTTAGCATTTGCTTTGTAAATTTTGTATCTCTAAAATTCCAAAATTGTCAAATAGGGCCTTTTGTCATATATTTTACAGGAATCCCCTAATAATAAAAACCATATGTTGTATAGTGAGAAGCAGTGCGCGCTTCCACTCCGCAGCCCCTGGGTTCAATCCCCGGCCAAAGCAACATCGCAAAAAAATATAGAAAAAAGGTATTTTCTTAAAGTCAGCGTAAACCTGTACGTCCCTCCCCTTTGTCTAACAACATCAAGGCACACGCCACAAATCAAAGGAGAAGCTCGGCCAAGCACTAAGATATGTGTACGCGCCATTATACTATTATTATTATACTAAGGAAGTTAATAGTTAGATTTTCTGAAAAATAATTTTCAAACTCAAAAATAATAGAATGTTGAGCTGGGCCGGTGATGCCTCATAATAACCGATTTTTCATTGATTTACATGCATATGCACACTAACTCATATTATCTGTGTGTTCTGAGTAAATTTAGCTTTTACTATCAATGTTCATTTAATTCATACCTTTCAATTAAAAGTAAGTTTTCCGATTGCTAATTGCACATTAAATACATACATAACAGGGCTCTGCTATGAAATACCAACACATTCGTTAAATTTTTTACATTTATTTATGGAGACAAAACTTATAATCGGATAATATGGGTTAAATTCCCCCTTTTATTGTTAGTCGCATTCAAGCTACAAAACTAAATCAAATTTGTTAAAGAAAAATGTTAATTAACCCATATTATCCAATTGCACACAGGTGAATGTAATGTCACGCCATCCACTTCTTGGTTCTCTCGACTGTTTACAAACAAACAACAGAAGCCACACCATTAGTATGTTATATGCCCGACGAGCTTCCCTACTGCAGCAAGTTACGCGCACTTCAATCGGCGATTTGCCAACTAGACATGAAGTTATCGAGAGCCCTCGCAATAAATGGCTTAGTGAAATCAACGATATACTCGATGAGCCTACAGTGCCGCATGAAATTCAAGCGCCTGCAATAAGCAATGGAAAAATGGAAGCAGCACGTCTTATTGTTATACGCCGTCGAAAGATGAAGAAGCATAAGTTGAAGAAACTGCGCCGCAAGATGAAATTCGAATGGGCCAAAGTGCGTCAACGCCGTGAGATGCGCAAAGAAAAGGCATTCCAAGCTAAATTGATCGCTCAAGTGAAAGCCGGTGAAGCATTTAATGCAGAGCAGTACGTGGAAGAGCAGCTGCGAAAGGCAAACGAGAATCCATTGCCACGTTATTGGAAAGGAAGGCGGTTGCCTGCGTTTATCATCAAAGAGAAACTGGGAATTAAGTGAAAAATTGTCATAGGCTATTAGGTTTATAAGATTGTTTGTATTTAGCGAACGTGTTGGTATTTCATTGGTATTTACAAGAATAAATCCAAATTTTACAAGTCATTCTGTGAGCGGCTCGCATTCTATTTGATTTATTTTCTTTTCATTCTCAAAACAATTTTTATTCAAACCAAAAGGTTATCAACTCAGCAGCTAAAACCTTCTACATGTCTGCCGGTTTGGTCAACGTTCCGATAGTTTTCCGTGGCCCCAATGGTGCCGCTGCTGGTGTAGCCGCTCAGCATTCTCAGTGCTTCGCTGCCTGGTACGGTCACTGCCCAGGTTTGAAAGTGATATCCCCGTATGACAGCGAGGATGCACGTGGATTGCTTAAGGCTTCCATTCGCGACCCGGACCCAGTGGTTTTTCTAGAAAATGAGATGTTATATGGTGTTTCATACCCAGTGGACGAAAAGGTATTTGATAAAGATTTCGTGCTGCCTATCGGTAAGGCAAAAATTATGAAACCAGGTAATCACATCACTCTGGTAGCACATTCAAGGGCTGTAGAAACCGCACTGACCGCTGCTGCTGAACTGGCTAAAAAGGGTAAGCTAAATTAGATTTTTTAATAGAATATATTTACAATTGCATATACTTTCAGGTATTGAAGCTGAGGTTATCAATTTGCGTTCCATCCGTCCACTGGACATGGACACCATTTGCAAGTCCGTTAAGAAGACACATCATCTTGTGACCATAGAACAGGGCTGGCCACAACATGGTAAAATCGCAACTTTTCACCTCTAGCAGCACTCAACAAATCTAAATTTTTTATTATAGGTGTGGGCGCTGAAATTTGCGCGCGTATCATGGAGGACGAAACTTTCTTCCATTTAGATGCACCTGTGTGGCGTGTATGTGGCGTTGACGTACCAATGCCTTATACCAAGACCCTGGAAGCGAATGCATTACCCCAGGCTCATAACATTGTCGAAGCTGTCACTAAAATCATTGGACCCAAAAAGTAGAGAATTTATACCATCCAAATTACACCTTAGTCAAATTTTAAATGCTAGATCAAACAAGTATTCGCAATCAACTTCTCACAGAACATAAATGTTTATAATGAAAATATGCGCGAATTAAAAATGCTATACACTATACTATACCCACATGAAGTCATAAGATTAAAGTCGATGAAATATTAAAATTTACACCGCGGCATTCATTTAACATGAACGCAAGCCTTAAGGGATACAATTTTGCATAGGAGAATGTCGTAAATCATATATCAGTCGACAATTGGTAGTAAAGAACCCACAATCGGAAGTCAATAATGGGTTTAATATTTAATATATTTTACCCTTTCGTCATATGTATGTATGTACGCTTAATGTACATCAGTTGTGCTATATACCTGCCATAATATCTTTTTTAATATATGACCAAGGTACGTGAAGCTATGCATACGTAAATTGTGTTTATAATTAAAAGTAATTATTAGTTATGAATAAAAATCTCATACCGATTTTCATAAAGCAGAAGATCATCAGCTTAAATAAAGGTAATAATGAGGACTGAGTTCTGGAAATGTTTGTTATATTTTTGACAGCATAACCTCGTCGTCATTGTAAATCCGCTTAAGTGGCATATTAATTGTTTAAGTGAGCTTTTTTGTTAAGAAAATGCATTTAAATAAAATACAAGTATCAATTCCGTACGAGTTTGTACATATTAGAAATAGTCAGAGGTCGCCCCTCAATTTTCAGTACTATTTTCTAGACTATTTCCGACAAGTTCGGACTCGTACGGGATCTCAACTTCAATAAATGTCCTTGAACAATTTCAACCCAAGTCACTTTGAATTTAAATTGAATGGTGTTGAAATTCACTCGGAACCCAGAAGCCATTCTAAAAGGCCTACCCAAGAAGTGAAAAAGTTCTCCCTGTGAGGCTTCTAAAAGGGCTTTTTCATATCACAATTTACGCGAATATTTAAGTTTAATTATTTAACATCTAAAATGATTTTTTATAAATTTAAGAACACCTCCAAAAGGCTTTCTGGAAGCCTTTCTCTGGGTAGCGAAAGCAATTTGTGCCAAGGAGAAAGGAATGGAAGGCCTGTTGAAGGTTGTTGTCAAGAAGGCCTTTTCGAAGGAACTTTAGCTCCTGAAATCACCTACTGGGAAGTGAATTTCAGAACCTGCCTGATTATCTTGGAAAACTGCAACATGCGCATACTTAAGTTATCCAAAGTAACGTTTCTTTTCTGTGCCAAGATTATTTCTCTTTTTATCTGCTTAATTTATTTTCGTTTCACTCGACCAAAACAAGATGTCACATGTTAGATTACTGGAAGCAAGCTTAAAACGTTATGGATTTAATTACATGCTTCGAAAATCCCAATTAATAGAAAAACATGATTTTTTGCTACATAAATCTCCTTGAATTATATTTCATTTTAATAATGTATATATGTATGTTTGTGTCGTAGAAGTGTAGGTACGTGTATGTAAAGTCCAAAATATATATGGATATACCCAATATCCACGAGCATAATTAGTGTTTAATTCTCTGTTAAAATTATTAATAAAAAACGATACGAACACTAAAAACCACATTACCCCTATCTTCGCCATCGAAGTATTGCGCTTATTCGATTAGCTGCTGTGGTCATGAGACCCCCTGTGATACTTGATTGTTGTGCAGCGGCGGTTGCAATTAAATCCGATTCACTAATCTCGGGCTCGTCTGGGAAGTTTGGCACCGATTCCCAATCTAAGCGTAAGGAATTTTCTTCTAAAAAACAAAAAATGATTATCTTAAAGAAAGCTTAAATAACGGGTATTATGACTACCTTCCGATTCTGATTCCGTGGCAGTTTCAATGCCTTTAAGCAGAGAATCGACCGATTTCATTAATGGTGCATTTGATATCTCATAGAATCCATGTCGTCCTAAGTTACTCTTTTCTACATCTAAAATGGCCAATATGTTTTCCAGTGTATGATTTTCATTCAGATTTCGCAGCTGTACCTGCTGTGTGTAGGCGAGGTACATAATGTTTGAATTTAAACGCGAAACTTTGCGCAAGAATTGCTCTTCGTTAAGTTTGCGGCAAAAGTCACTGTAATAGATATATTTTTATAAATCTGTTGCAGTAGCAGGTCTTAAGATTTCGCTTACCCATATGCAACCCTATGGGGTAGACGCACATTTAGATAGTAGCTCATTAACTCGGTCAGTTGCGTGGTATACGTGAGCGCACCAATGATGCGAAAAGCACTTATGCGACTTGGTGCTATGTGATTACCTTCGTTCTTCGGCACATCATCTTTGTTGTCGGTAAGCCAATCTAAATACGCAGTGTAGTCACCATTAGCCGGCAATGACGGTGCTACAATGCGGTATTGCATCTCACTAATACCGCTTCCATGAAACACCCATTTTCCGCGAATATAAGATGTGTTTTTAGCATCGGCCAATTGTTCCATAGTGTTAGTTTCATTGCTGGCGTCACCACCGGGTCCAGCACTTGGTATCGCACCGCGTACATCGCCAATAATCGCCTTAAGATGTTTTTCGTCTTGCAACACCACCTCCGAAATTTGAAATATATACTTCACCAGTTGGTTTATATCATGACGTGTCACTTGCTGCACTTTATTCATCATCCCACCATACAACTCTCGCAATTTAATAATTTTTTCGAGTCTATCGAAAACATAATCCTCTAGAGCTTTCACTTTAATTGGATAGTTTGGCAACTGTTTGCGTTTATCAATGTTTGCCTTGCACCGCAGATCCCTTTGTTCTTTCCTATTTGCCAATAACGCTTGCTTTTCAGTTATCAATCTATTTAGCAGTTGAATCCTCTGCTTTTTACGTTTAATTTCACATTGCAAGTTTTCGCTGGAGCGCTGCTCACGCATGAACCGTTCATATCGAATACTCAAGTCCTTGAGGCCGCCTTTAATCTTAATATATTTCTGTTGTTTCTCAAAAAGGCTGAAAGAGAATGAAATTAATTCCAAGCCACAATCTTTATCATTGAATTGCATATATGTGCCCAACTTACTTTTCTTTCTGCGTACAACCAGCAACATTACTGTGCACAATGTTACCATTCCGCACGCATGAGCAACAGTGAAAATTATGCTGGTGCTGGGATTTTCCACACAGTGGACAATGATATCTCAGCCCCAGAATATCCTCGGGATTGGCATGACCAGCCGTATATTTGCAAACATCTTCACTTGAACTGGACACGTGAAATTTCAGATTTGGTGCATTGAAGCTCTCATCGGTCGATGAGCTAGACATAGATGCCATAACATAGTTGTCCACTACCAGAAGCAACTCTTCCTGCTACCTGAGCGCTGCGTCACAATGCTTTTACGCTATACACAATCAGCTCAATTACTCTTGGTACTACTTTTTCATAAAGTTAGATTATTAAAAACCCTATACTTGTTATTTTTATCACTCTAACTTCTATTCAAATTGAAAGTCTTCATTTAACAAAGTTTTCAGTTTATTTATTGCAATGACAGTAAAATGCAAATTTTTTTGCTTATTTTCTCAAATATACAGTTTGACAGTCAGGGTTGCAGACTCCTATGTTGCTTTCGTGTTTTTGCCTGCGAAAATAAATGCTGAACCGCAAGGAAAATTTGCAATTAACTAGCAACAATTATAGAATGGAATGTCGTGATTAATTATGGAGATTTCTTATGATATACAATACTTTCATTGTCTGAAATATGTACAACCACCGTGGGCTACATACATACATACATCTGGGCATATACATATGTACACAATCTAGCTAATTTTGCATAGCGTACGATGCCGCATTGCTCCCGTAGACACCTTGTAGTTTTTTTTGCTTGAATTGACTGGTGTGGCTGCCCAACAAACATTTAGATTTGAGCTCAACTTGAGGTTAGTTTGAGAACTAAGGTACATATTTCTCAAATCTCCAACGTTGTTTCTTAACAGTACCTCAAGTGGAGGATCATAGCGTTCTCAACAAAAAGGGCATTTTTATTTGTATGAAAAAAGGACTGTTTCTCAAGTTGAANGGTACATATTTCTCAAATCTCCAACGTTGTTTCTTAACAGTACCTCAAGTGGAGGATCATAGCGTTCTCAACAAAAAGGGCATTTTTATTTGTATGAAAAAAGGACTGTTTCTCAAGTTGAAAAAATGCTAGTTCCCAACTTGAACTCCAATGTAATTCTCCAATTGGTCTCAAACATATCATTGAAATACTGAAATTGAAATAGTAAAATTCCTTATACCTTTTTGATTGAAACGACATACATACATAGATGTATTTAAATTTAAAATTTTCATTTTATTGCTTCTTTTGTATTATGTAGTTAATCAACATCGATTTACAATAATTCACTTCACAGTATACAGTCCGACAGTAATTTTGCCGCGTTATAATTTCTTTCAAGATTATTTGAGGATACTTTGAAGATTATTTACTTTTTGTTAGTAATTTTCCTCTTTATATAGCTTTATGGCCTTATTAATAAAAAATAAAATAGGTTTAAAGAGCTCTATAAAGTGACATTTTCATACAAAATTTCGATTTATAAAGCAGTTAAAGTGTTCTTTATTTTTTATGAATTTGGCTATTAGTTTTTCTCTTGACAATTAAAAGTTCGTTTCTCTATCACTTTTTACGTATCTGCGCGTCGGTTAGAGATGAGTTGGAGAATGATGTTGGGTATTAACTTGGGAACTATGAACTTCTTCAAGGTTGGAGAAATATTTTTTTTTTTTTTGGGTTTTTGGAATACTGTTTGTTTGGCAATCAACAATGGAATTCTAACAATCGCTACGCTAAATTGCCAAAATTCTCTAAATGAAAATAAGTGAGACCAAGGCGAATTTATACAAGGTGGTGTTAATGGCGAATTTAGATTTTCGTCGCGGTGCTTCTTAATGTCAAAATGATATGTTTATTGTAATATGAATTCACCTTGTTTACAACAAACACATCATTTTGACATTAAGTAGTACCGCGTCGTAAATCTAAATTCGCCATTAACACCATTTATTTGAGAATCGGAGCTATTCTGGGTTTGTTCCTATGTTTGAGACCAATTGAAGAATCACATTGGAGTTCGAATTGAGAACTAACATTTTCTCAACTGGAGAAATAGTCCTATTTTCGTACAAAGAAAAATGCCTATCTGTTGAGAACGCTATGATTCTCCACTTGAGGTACTGTTGAGAAATAACGTTGGAGATTTGAGAAATACAACCTTAGTTCTCAACTTAACCTCAAGTTGAGCTCAAACCTTAAGTTTTTCAGTGCCAGTTTAAACTTTGTTTAAGTAAACTGAGTTTACTTAATTGAACAGCTGGTTGACATTTGATTGGCTGATCTTAGTTTAAACCAACCAGATCGGGCGTTTAAACTGAGTTTAAACCACGGCTGTGCACTGAAAAACTGGCCCTAACTGAATTTTAAATATGCGTTTATTTCATACAATATGAAAACCTTTAAAGAATAGGGATTGTTTTTTTTTCATTTTATATTCATACAACTATGCAAACAACTTCAATATTTGCATATATGTACAAGCTTAAGGATTGTTTTAATCCCCTTTTATTTTCATTTCAGGACCCAAGCTGTGCAAAAGAAGGTAAAAAAGGAAACTAATTGAAGAAACATTAAGGGATCGAATTTTTTCAAAATTCTATTATTTCAAATCTATTCTAATCATTTATTTTAGTAATCTGGTACCACATTTTTAAATAAAATAAAATGATTCATATTTGATTTACTGTCTTAAAATTTTTTAATTTTTATTTTGCAACATTTGTTTTTTTTTTAATTAATTCTTTACCTAGTATCTTCTTTATAAGCGCTCTAACTGCCAAACGATTTCGGCCAAGTCCAAAACAGCAAACCAGTCATTTCTCTTCTGTGCCAACTGGCGACAATTGGAAATGCCAAGTGAAGCAAAGTCTGCAGAAGAGGCCCTCCTCTTCCTCTGTTACAAGCATCGCGGCCCGCGTGGAATACTTTCAGAGCTAGAGCGTTTCAGGCCATTCGAACGACATGACCTAGCCAGCTAGATTTTAATTCACAGCACTATGTTTATAGCGTTGTAAAGCTGATATAGCTCATCGTTAGATTGTCTGCAGTATTCGCCATCGTGAATGCGTAAAGGTCCGTAAATCTTTCGCAGAATCTTTCTCTCGAAAACTCCAAGAGCCGCTTCATCAGATGTTTACATTGCACATGCCTCGCGCCATACACCAGGACAGGCATGATGAGTGATTTATAGTGTGATTTTTGTACGAAGACAGACGAAGACTTTACTTTTCAATTGCCTACTTAGTCGACAATAGCGTTTCTTGGTCAGAGTGATTCTGCGATAGATTTCAAGGCTGACATTATTATTGGTGTTAATGCTGGTTCCCAGTCGTTTACTTTTTCAAACTTGTTACTGTCAACAGTGACATGGGTGGCAAGACGCGTATGCCCTGACTGTTTGTGTGGTGACTGGAGGTACTTCGTTTTGTCTTCGTTCATCACTAGACTCATGGTCTTTGCTTCTCTATCTAATCCCGAGAAGGCAGAACAGACGTAGCCCTTTTTTCGATAATGTCGATGTCGTCGGCATACGCCAGCAATTGTACGCTCTTATAAAGTATTGTGCAAGAGCGGTTCAGTCCTGCGCTCTTGCACCTTTTCTGAAACCTCGTATGGTATCAAACGGCTCGGGAAGGTCCTTCCAAAAACTGACAAAGCTGGTGGTATTGCAATGTCATTTTACACATCCGTTTTAGTTTCGTGGGGATACCAAATTCAGACATCGCGACATAAAGGCAACTACTTTTCGTGCTGTAGAAAGTGGCTTTGAAATCAACAATCAGATGGTGTCTGTCGATCCTATTCTCGCGGATCTTTTCCAAGATTTGTGGTATTGTGAATACCTGATCTATGGTGGATATGCCAGGTCTAAAGCCACACTGATAAGGTAAAATCAATTGGTTGACGGGGGGCTCGATAAGATCTTGCAACCTATGCTTAGAAAACTGATCCCGCGGTAGTTGGCGCATATGGCGGGGTCGCCTTTCTTGTGGATTAGCCAGAGCACTCTTAGATTCCAGTCGTCGGGCGTATGTTCGTCTGACCATTTTCTGCATAAGAGTTGATGCATGTACCTTATCAGCTCATCGCCGCCGTACTTGAATAGCTTGGCTGGCAGCCCGTCAGCTCCAACAGCTTTGGGGGTTTTCAATGACGTAATCTCTATTCGTCATAGTCAGACGGTGGGACATCGACTCCATCGTCATCGACTGGGGGTCGGGTTCGTCTTATCCACTACTTTCAGTGGCGCTGCCATTAAAAAGGGTGGAAAAGTGTTCCCACCATAATTTAAGTACGTTCTTGACATCGATCTCTAGGTCGCCATGGTTGTTATTACAGGAGTTTGCCCTCTTCGCACTCACATATTTCGACAAGTCTCTTCTTAATGCGGAAAAGTTTTCTCGCTTTCCTCTTCAGCTCCATATAACGGTCCCACATGGATCGCGTTGCGCCCGATCGCAACGTGATCTTAAAGGCGGCATATTTTTTTCTCTCGCTGAAATCTGACTACTTCTTGGGCGGCGGTACTAAATGAGCGGGAGATGTGGTTCCACTGCTCGTGTATGTCGGTTTTTAAAGAGTGCTAAGAGAGAGCAGGTGTAGGAGTCGAGTGACGAATAAATTGGTCCTCCGTTTTGATTGCAGCTTTTCGACGTTAAGCTTTCCTTGAACTGTTGGACGCACATTTTTTGCTGCACAGATGCGAGTGCGTATCTTGGCTGCAACAAGAAAAAGGTCCAAGTCGAGAGGGCAACCTCATATGTACGCTCCAAGCGCTCATAGAAGAGATCCTTGGATACCTCATCCTTCTCTTCCGTCAGGGCATGGGCGCAGATAAGCGAGATGTTGAAGAATCTCGCTTTGATGCGGATTGCGGCTAAACGCTCGTTCACCGGGGTGAACGACAGTACTCGGCGACGGAGTCTCTCTTTCACCACAAATCCAACTCCGAATTTGCGCTCCTTTACATGGCAGCTGTAGTAGACGTCGCAAGGCCCCAGGCATTGCTTGCCTTGCCCCGTCTAACGCATTTCTTGGATGGGCTTGGAACAGCAAGTATCTGGCATTTTAAACGATTTTTTTCTTTTTGTTCTTTAATTCCTAAAACAATTATTTTTTGATCTGAAATCTAAATTTTTTTATTTTTAAATTAATTTATAATGTTGCTAGTTTTAAATGGGTTAACGCAATGACAAAATCGTTGTCATATAAGCGTATAAATAAAAAATAAATATATGTATATATTGATTTCACTTTGCTATTACACTATGGTTTTGTACAAATAAAAAGTTTGTTATGTACATATCTAGCCCTAACCGCCAAAATAACGTAAGCGACATTTTTTTTCAAAATTTTATTTTTGATGCAGAAATGCATCTTGATGCTCTAGGAATATTTCTGCATCAAAAAGAAAATTTTGAAAAAAATGTCACTTACGTTATTTTGGCGGTTAGGGCTTGATATGTCTATAAAATTGGCCGCAAGTCTTCTTTAAAAATATGCAGTTGGATTGTGAAAGCATGGACTGAATTTCTAAACCTG